TATAGTGGTAGCCAGTGAGATCGGCCTATAATTTGTGACATCTGAAGAGTCCCCTGTTTTATTTTTAATAACAGGGACTACGATAGTATGCATCATTTTCTCAGGCAAATAGGAATGAGACAAGCATATATTGAAAAATAACGACAGTACTCTCGGAAAGTGAACTCCAGCATACCTCAGATGCTCGATGCTGACGCTGATGCTGATGCTATAATGACGGTACTCGACGAGTTAAGCCCACCTTGTACCTCTACATTAGTGTGTGCATGAAGTCTTTTAAAATAAAATAAAAAAGCAAAATAAAAGAAACAGGGTGGCAGCATGCCCACGACGAAAGGGCTCGCCAACTCAGTGTAAGCTGGGCATAGTAAGTACCCAACACTGGTTTTCAGTTGGGACCCCTTTTAAACGAATGCTTGGAATGTGATCTACAGTCTACCAATGATGTAAAAGACAAGAACATTACTTACTGTGGTTTGATCGTGCAGTCAGCTAAGATGACATGGTCAGCAGAGTCTGACGTCATCACAAGTTCTTCCCCTCCGAACAGCAATTGCACCAAGTTGTCTTGTAGCCGGCATTCACCTAAATATAACAATATATAACATAACATCACGCCTTATATCCCCGACGGGGTATCCAGACATGTATACGACACTTAATGCCACTGTACAATGTAACACCCACTTATCATTTATGTTATGAGTCTCATAAAATAGGGGGTGAGCCTATTGCCATATACCAGGCACAATTCCTAACTCCGTGCTACTACTGAGGTTTTTTGAAAAAATCCAGTAATAGTTTGACCGACCCGGGAATCCAACCTTAAACCCCTTGCCCGGCAGTCGCACTTGCGACCACTCGGCCAATGAGGCAGTCCATCCAGACACCACTGACAAACGGTGAAGGAAAACATCGTGGGAAACCTGGACTTATAATTTCTAATTATAAGTTTGAAATCGTCAACCCGCATTGAGCAAGCCTGGTGATTAATACTCAAACCTTCTGTTGAGAAGAGGCTTTGCTCAACAGTAGGAATTTATTTATTTTATAGTCTGTTGATGAAAAATATTAGAAAAGAACTACTTACGGTACAACCCCAAGGTCTTCATAATCTGCATATCAGTCCAGCTGTCCAGCAGCCAGGCGAAGTTATCAGATTTGAACTGCATGTCCGCGCCCTTGTTGACACTTACTGATGCTAGGCCGTTTCTCTCCTAGAACGAAGATCAAAGTCATGATCATCATCATTAAGATTTCTACTACATATTTTTTGAGAGGGGATATCCTCGATCATCGAATGACTCCTCCCGCACGGGTGAGGCGAGTGGGAGTGTCAGACTCTTACTGACGAAGGGCTCGTACACAAAACCGCGATGTGACGTCGTGTGGCGACACATGTTACGAGTCAACGAATGACGTCATAAAATTCTATATCGCCCATGGGAAGTATACATTCGATTTAACACGGATAGAAAATCCCAACGAACAACTGTTGGGCAGAAAGCCCGCCAGGCACGATCACCTCGCCTGCTCGGAGGATCCTCCTTTTCCGATCTTACTCTGTTCCCTAAAGTCGCATCGCAAAAATGTGCGAGCTTCCTCTACGCATCGCAAGAACTTATTCGCATTAATTCGCATCGCGCAACAAAATCTTATCTTCCCAAAATCTTCTTTGTTTCTTTTTCCCGTATCTCCTAAGCAATAACAGAAGTGCACACTTCTTTTTACGATCCATGTCACGACCTAGTTTTCAATTGCTGCTTACTACTAGACTGTACGGTTGGTGCGGTGGCTGGGCAACCGCTACCATGCAGCCTGCCGCGGGTTCGATTCCCGCACGGAACAACACTTTGTGTGCTCCATAAATAGTTATTCTAAACTTTGTGCTACTACTGAGAATTTTCAACATACCTAATAATACTTTGCCCGACCCGGGAATCGAACCCGAAACTTCTTGCCCGGCAGTCGCACTTGCGACCACTCGGCCAACGAGGCAGTTTGAGTTAAATCAGTAGTACCTATTAAAATATAAAAAAGCAAAAATATAACGAACCTTGATAACAGCAGTCATGTTAAGCGGTTCCTTACTGTAACTCCTGACGAGCTGACCCAGAGCAGTCTGTGTCACTATGTCTGACTCCAGGATACCCATCTCTGACAACTGGAACAAAACATCAATGAACATCTGTTTCTAATTTCATCATCATCAACTGCCTATAAATGCCCAATGCTGACCAAAGGCCTCTTCTCACACGGACAAGGTTTGAGCATTAATCACCACGCTTGCTCAATGCGGGTTGGCGATTTCAAACTTATAATTAGAAATTATTTTCTCTTTCTTTCACTTTTCATCATCACTAGGATTTTCTCCTGTGTCGTGGGTGCGTTTACAAACATTAAAGTTCACATACACATGACAACCAGACCCGAGACAACAATTTGTGGATCACACAAAGTGTTGTTCCGTGCGGGAATCGAACCCGCGACACGTTGCACGGTAGCCGGTTGTGCAGCCACCAATCGTGCAGTCAAGTCAACTATAAGCCAAAGTTTCCTCACGATGTTTTCCTTCACCGTTTGTCAGTGGTGTCTAGATAATCTTAGAAAGTACATATAACTCGGAAAAAGTCACATTGGTACTTGCCGTTGGTAGGTTTCGAGCCCGCACTCTCATGCATGAGAAGCGAGCTGTCAAAGCGGGAGTCTTAAACCTACGGGTCACCAAAAAAAAAAAACCAAAATAAAAATATTCAACGTACATTACTCCCAAAAATTTTGACCTCAAAGAACCTCTCCAGTTTCCCATAAAGGTTCTGAGGTATACCCTTGTACTTCAGAGTCAGCTCTGATGCTGGACCGGACTCAAAGCAGTCGGTCTTGTTTCCAGAGTATGTGATGGTAAGGTGGCCTTCATAGGAAGTTGGGTGAATGGCTATATCCTGGTCTGATGCTCCATGACTGATGTCCTGTTCTCGGAGACAGATCTGGTGGTGGAAATGAAAAATTATTAATAGAGTGAAGTTTCTGAAGTCTTATTTTTGAGTATGGAAATGTGCCCGGTATATGGCAATAGGCTTACCCCCTATTACATGGGACTCATAACATAAATATTGAAAAGTGGGTGTTACATTGTACAGTGGCAATAAGTGCCGTAATGTGCACCTCTGCCTACCCCTTCGGGGATAAAAGGCGTGATGTTGTGTTATGTTATTTTTGAATAAATTTTTGATATTACTTTTCTGCATTGTACTTTGTTAGGAAATAGTAAAAATCTATAAAGAAATCGTCCGTAGACTGATCAACTCTACACGTGACCATGGTGCTTACTCTTGAAACCCATCTCAATGTCAATGCAATTTCAATTAGTAAATAATAGACTGCTTAAATACCTGGAGGACAGGTCAATACTATCAGAACACCAATATGGATTTAGACCTAAAATTTCAACAGCAGATGCAGTACACTACGTGACTAACTACATAACGCAAGAACTTGATAAGGGTAACCACACTTTGGGAGTCTTCCTGGATCTGGCCAAGGCTTTTGACACAATTTCTATTCCTATGTTGTTGCGTAAGCTGGAGATCATAGGTATAAGAGGGATGCAGCTTAAATTTTTTCAAAGTTACTTAGAAGATCGCGGTCAGTGTGTAAGAATCGGTGCAGTACTCAGCGATAACGTTATAAACACTCCCTACGGTGTCTCGCAGGGGAGCATATTATCGTCTACATTGTTTCTAATATACATAAATGACCTATGCAATCTTAAGCTGGAACACGGCACAATCGTGTTATACGCTGACGACAACGTTAAAAACTACGATAGCAGTATTGATGCAGTTGTTGCGTTACCGCAACGGGTCGTGGTGCATATTCATGACAAGGACTTAAGTGATTTTTAAAAAGATACAGCTATGGTCGAAATTAATGTCGAAATGTTATGTCGAACTATGTATATAGCGACGCTCCCAACCAAGAACTCGGTAATGTGCTATTATCGGGTTTATGCTGTTATGTCAATTTCGGCGCGTATGGACTTGAATACACCTTGACAATTTTTCTCAGATTTTTCCTAATAATAGTTACAAAGATATCATGACGCACATGTTTATTGTTGGGAATTAATACACAATAATATCTCGGCAAAAAACATGTTATACATCTGTACGAAAAAACAATTTATATTTTATTTTGGTAAGTTGCGATTACCGGGTTATTGCCGTAAATAATTTTCATGAAGATTTAGGTAAACGTGTGTACGGGGTTTTTGTTGAATTCATTGTAAAATACGTATTCCGTAATACACACTAACAATGTTATTGAAGATTGGTATTGGCTCATTAATGTACGTAATATTTTATATTACGTACATTAATGAGCCAAAGTTATTGTGGTAATTTAAATAATATTTGAAATTACCACAATAACTCCGTAAAAACACGTTATGTATCAGCCCCACGATAAAAAAAAACCCCGTAGAAGTCCATAATATAATGTTATGAAATATTTCATTTGATAAATTTACTGCAATAATCCCGTAAGTACTATTACCATAATATTTTATGTATAAAATTTTAGGTATTATTTATTTTCCTAAATTACTAGGTATTTAATAAAAGGAATGTCATTTTAATGGCACAGGTATATTCCGCAAAAAAATAGCTTTCATTTAACACATCAATGACTTCAATAGTCCCACTCGTTGAAAAGGTATTTGATAAAATCAGTAAATCTTTTCTCCTGTAAAATTTTGATTTATCGATTACTGGGTTATTGTTTGGAAGCGTCGGCTACTTTGTAGAAACTTGAGTTAAATTACAGACGGGCCATTTTTGAGCAACTACAACAGACAATTTTAGATGCTTAAAATATACAAGTTGAATCTCTCCTACATAATTCTCAATACAATGATCGATCATAATGATCCCATTACCATCAGCCTCCAATTACCCTCAGAGGCCCAATTACCCTTCCCTCCCCCAATCTCCGCAATACCTGAATCCCCAATGATCCTCAAACTCCTAATCCCCATAAGGCCGGTAGAGCACGTGTAACGCCCCTGGTGTTCTAGGTGTCCATGGGCGACGCCGATTGCATACCGGCTTATGCCATAAAAAAAAGAAATCCTACCAAAGACGTTGGAGAATTGGGCCTCTGGTAACCTCACTCACACAACGAAACACAACGCTTGCGTTGTTTCACGACGATTTTCTGCTCGGCCGTGGTATCACTCCGGTTGAGCCGGTCTATTTCGTACCGAAGCATGACTCTCCTACAATAGGGTAGATGCCGAATTTTTATTTTAATGTCCGTCTGGTAAATCATTTTAAATCATTAGACACGTATTTTTTATTTTCTTACAGAAACGAATACTTTCGACGATATATTGATTTGAAATGTCGCGTGACGTCACTTCTATGTACATACATTTTATGCGTAGAAATGACGTTTTAGCCCCCACTCCTGAACTTTGATTCGTTTTATCTAAGTATTGTTTTATTATATAACAAAATAAAAAAAATACGTGTCTTATATTTTTTCATTACCTAACTTACGGGCTAATTAGATTTTTAATTTTCATACCCTGTCATTATCCCAATTGCATAATGCAATGAGAGCCTCAAAATTATCCACCAGTATATAATATATGTATAAACTGGTGGGCAATAGTAATTATATATATACTTATTTGATGAGCCGACGTTTGTCCACTATCTCGCCTAGTGGTAAGCAATGATGCGGTCTACGATGGAGCACGTCATCCCATAACCAACCTATTCACTCGGGCCTTGAAGACAGCCAGGTTATACCCTTCAGGAAATACAGACTCTGGCAAAGAATTCCAGTGGCCCAAAATCGCTCGTTTGATTCGTACTAAAAGGTAAATCGTGTTTATAAAGAGTAAATCCTATGAATATCACCTTTACACGTTCTCCCTTTTATCTTGACACAAAGTTGCGTCCCGAGGGGATAGGTAGAAAGATAGCCACGTAGCTCAAATTATTGTAAGGTAATATTGCTAGTATATTTTGAGTGTGGGAGAGCCATGCTTCGGCACGAATGGGCCGGCTCGACCGGAGTGATACCACGGCCTCATAAAAGACCGACGTGAAGCAACGCTTGCGTTGTGTTTCGTCGCGTGAGTGAGGTTACCGGAGGCCCAAACTGTCGCAGTGCTACTGGCCACTCGAATCTGGTAATTGGGCCTACCATTTTTTGCTCACCTGCTGGCACTAGTGTGAGTGAACCTCTCGACGTTTAATATTTGACAGCTGCTGTGATTAGACTAAAAATTTCTTCCTACATTTGCACCGAAAATACTCTCTCGTTATATATCAATTTAAACTACCTCGTTGGCTGAGTGTGAGTCGGGCAAAGTATTACTGGGTCCGGTATATAGCAATAGACTTACTTTTTTTTTTTGAACCGTTGCCCCACACTAGGATTTTCTCCTGTGTCGTGGGTGCGTTTACAAAAATACAATATCACATACACATGACACCCAGACCCGGAACAACAATCTGTGGATCTTAAAATATTCGAGTTGAATCTCTCATACATAATTCTCAATACAATGATCGATCATAATGATCCCATTACCCTCAGCCTCCCATTACCCTCATAGGCCCAATTACTCTTCCCTCCCCCAATCTCCGCAATACCTGAATCCCCAACGATCCTCAAACTCCTAATCCCCAAAAGGCCGGTAACGCACTTGTAACGCCCCTGGTGTTCAAGGTGTCATGGGCGTTGAAAGAGTTGTTCCGTGCGGGAATGGAACCCGCGACACGTTGCACGGCAGCCAGTTGCCCAGCCACCGCGCCAACCGTGCAGTCATTACTCCTTATTACATGAGACTCATATCATAAATAGTAAAAACTGGGTGTTACATTATACAGTGGAATATTAAGTGCTGTAATGTGCACCTCTGCCTATCCCTTCGGGGATAAAAAGCGTTATGTTGTACTAAGTTATCAAATAAAAGACTCACCGTCCATTCTCTTCTAGTGACATTATCAGAGCTGGGCTGTAGGCCGTGTATCGTCAGCTGGACGTTCGCATTGCCACCTGTACTCTCTATCTTCGTCAGAGCTTCCATCTCGAAGAATACCTTCTTTGGCTCTTCCTGGCTGTTGAAAGAAGCAGAAGCGAATTAAGAAACATGATTATTTTGGTTTTACTTCGATCTAGGTATAAGGTATAATATATTATTCAGAACATCCTGGGTTTAAAAAATCAGATGTTGATATTCACTATGACTTTGACTTTGACTTTGACCTTAACCTTCACTTTTACATTGACTTTAACATTTGTTCAACTTTGACTTTTGTTTTGACTTTGACATGACTCTGGCTTTGTCTCTTAATTTGACTTTAACCTTGACTTTCACCCTGACTCTGACTTTGACTTTGATATCGACTTTGACTTTGTAGGATACCTGAAGTAATTCAACATCATAGAAAGATCAAACTTCGTAGTATCTTCGTTGACGCTCATCTCATTCAGCTGGATCTTCAACTGCAGGATATCGTTGGCAGTCTTCATAAGATGTTGTGGTGGAAGTATCAGGCCACAGGACCCTGAGGGTGGGGAGGTGAAAAGGAGTATGCTGTTCAGGATTATCAGGGATGGCTGGATTGAGGTTAGGAAGCTGGAATGAAAAGAAACTGTAAGTTGATATTATATTGATAAATCCTACATTAAAAAGCAAAGAATGACTTAAAGTTAGCCAAATTATTAATATGTAGGTAAGAAAATAAACATTAACTCGTCGAGTACCGGTTTGGTAGACACAATTATAGAACAATAGGTTGCGGTCACCGGTGACCGCTTGGTGTTTGACAGTTTAATTCAGTCCACAAACACAATTTGTTTTGTTTTTTTTTTAACGTTGCCCGCACTAGGATTTTCTCCTGTGTCATCATCGCTTACCACCAGGCGACATAGAAGGCAAACGTCGGCCCATCAAATATATAATAAAAATACTTTGTCTGACCCGGGAATCGAACCCGTGACCTGGCAGTCGCACTTGAGACCACTCGGCCACGTAGGCAGCCAGTATTACACTACAGTAATAAATCATTATTGTAGTGTATGACTGACTATTAGTACATTAGTTTATTGAAAAATATCACTTAAATACTTACTCATAATGGTTGTTTTTCGAAGTGAACAACTTATCCAGTACTTCAGCTCCAGTCATAGGTCGTTCGCAGTCGAAGAAAACGCTTTTGTTGTCCAGATTCTGGAACAAATATGGTAAAGGCAGTCTGTGGTGAAAAAGGTACGGATACCTTACCTATTATCTTGTTTTTTCTTTATATGTTTATTTTTAAATCTTTTCAATGTTATTTGTCATAATGTATAAATTTTTCTCCCGGCGTGCATGTCTTAAGCCGAATAAACTTATTTCATTTCATCTCATTTCGGATAGACACACAGACTTTACCCGTCCGGTAACCGTTCAGGCAGATCTGTACGTGTCTGCCTATTAGCGCCTATTACATTCTTGCATGTACCTGACCTGTCTTTTAGAAAATAGGGAATCTCACACACAATCCCAGATTCATATAATAGGGTAGTTTCCTAAATTTTATTTTAATGTCCGTCTGATACATTAATTTAAAACTTTACACACGTTTTCTTTTCTTTTCTCACAAAATTAAATACTTTTGACGATATATTAATTTGAGATATCGTGTAACGTCACAGCGTGCCATATTTTATAGCACGTTATGACGCAACGACCTCCCACTCCTAAACTTAGCACCATTTTATCTAAGTATTGCAACTTTATACGACAAAATAAAAAATACGTGTCTAATATTCATTATCTAACTGACCGACTAGATTTTTAATTTTGATACCCTGGAAACTACCCAATTGTATATGACCATCAAGCTATGTACTCCTTTTAAAAAGAAGACAAGGCACTTGTCTAAACTCCCCCTATTACATCCTCGTCGTGATGGCCCGGAGGTTAAAGACGCCCGTTTAACGTACCGATATCGCCAATTTGGTCACATATGTCCGTCTAGGGCGCCCTCTACCTTCTTCTCTAAAATAATATAATACACAGTATCTTCAAACTCACCGACAAACTGTTGTCACCAGCAGTGACTGTAGAAGTAGACTTCAACGATGAGGTCTCCACAGCTATCTGTGCTCGTGAGTGCATCGCCACGCCTCCTTGCTGGGCACCTGGGTTTGGCCATGTCAATCTGAGAAACAATGTAATATCAGTTTCGTATAAACTATTGTGATGCAAACTAAATTAAATAGACGATACGGTCTACTCAGTTATTCAAGGCTACTCGTCTAGTTTGAAGCCTCGGTTGGGACTTATAATCATGATCATGATCAGATCGAAAGGAATCGAGCAACCTCGAACTACAATCTTGCTGTTTGCATGTTTCGATGCTTAATGTTTGGATATTTGGATGTTGGAACGTTTGAATGTATGGATGTTTGGATGTTTGGATGTTTGGACGTTTGGATGTTTGGATGTTTGAATGTTTGGACGTTTGGATGTTTGGATGTTTGAATGTTTGGATGTTTGGATGTTTGGATGTATGGATGTTTGGATGTTTGGATGTTTGGATGTTTGAATGTTTGGATGTTTGGATGTGTGGATGTTTGAATGTTTGAATGTTTGGATGTTTGTATGTTTGGATGTTTGAATGTTTGAATGTTTGGATGTTTGGGTGTTTGAATGTTTGAATGTTTGTATGTTTGAATGTTTGAATGTATGGATGTTTGGATGTTTGAATGTTTCAATCACGCTGAAACTACTGAACGGATTTTGATGAAATTTGGTATACAGGCAGGGTATGGACGGACTTAGGTGACAAGATAGTTTTTATCCCGATTAAATGCTCCCATGGGACAAACAGGAATCGTTATCTACGCGGACGAAGTCGCAGGCAACAGTTAGTGTTAAGTAATTATAGTTACTTACTCAATATTTTTCTCAATATTAGAGAATGAGACGTTGAACTTCATCGGTAGATGAGCTACCAGCGACTGTTGGATGCGTGCTGAATGCAGGCTTCGTACCAGTGGACCGTCGGTCGAGAGTGTAGTCACTGATGTGCCTTGGTACCTGAAGGAGATAGGGTCATTTGTTAAGGGATTGACAGAGGTGTACGGTCAAAGATCAAAAGTCCACTGCCACCGTAAGACTACTATAGGTAGCGCTGCAGCGCTTATACACACATGCACACGCATATTTTTATCCGTGTGCGTACGTGTGCGTGTGTACAACATGTAACTTAAATAACGCACATCCTGAAAATAGTTTTTTCAGAATCATTAACTGAATCGATGTATATAATTTTTAGTATAGGTAATTTTTTATCCCAAAAATAATTATAACTACGGAAATTATTGTCATATTAACCCTGTATTGTTAAAACAAATCGAAATGGACCGTAAGTCAAAGCAATAAGACTTTTAAAATCGCAGTTTTATTTGTATTCATACGAATTCTATCATTCAATACAAAATAAAGAAAAATAAACCTTATGACAAGACCAGTAAGGATGCATATACATCTTAAATTAAAAATCTAGTGTATGTATTATGATTATAACATAATATTCTAATTAGGATGTTTGAGAGTGTGCGTTAATTACGTTACATGTTGTATATGCGTATGCATGCGTTTTTATGCACATTAATATGAAGTTACTTACGCCTTATTGTGTGAACATCACTCACGGTGGCAGTGGAAATCCCAACGAACGACTGTTGGGCAGAAAGCCCGCCAGGCATGAACACCTCGCCTGGTCGAAGGATCCTCCTTTTCCGATCTTAGGGAACTTCGTTCTCTGTTCGCTAAAGTATATACATGCCCTATTGCCGTACACAGGACAGGATTCCAGATACTTCCAGATTTTTTGAAGAAACACAATAACGTACTGTGCCGACCCAGAATTTGAATCAGAGAGACCTCATGTTCAGTAGTGCACTTGTGACCAGTCGAAGAACGCGACAATCGGATTAATGAGTATCTTTAAAACTTCTCTAAAGAAGGTACCAATCGCTAAATCCCCTGACTGACAGCCAAGACTGACAGCCACTACGCCAACGAGGTCACGAGGCGGTGGTTTTATAATTGTATTTCTTTATTGCAATCATCATCATCATCATCATCATCATCATCAGCCTATAAGTGTCCACTGCTGAGCAAAGCCTCTTCTCACACGGAGACGGTTTGAGCATTAATCACAACGCTTGCTCAATGCGGGTTGGCGATTTCAAACTTATAATTAGAAATTATAAGCCCAGGTTTCCTCACGATGTTTTCCTTCACCGTTTGTCAGTGGTGTCTAAATAATCACTGAAAGTACATATAACTCGGAAAAGTCACATTGGTACTTGCCGTTGGTAAGTTTCGAGCCCGCACCCTCATGCATGAGAAGCGGGCGTCTTAAACTTCCGGCTCACCACGACATTTATTGGTATATGAGTCCTCTAAACTTAAATTTTTACGATTACCTGATATGCAAATCGTTCTTCCAAACTTTATCTTGAGTAGATGGCGCTGTCAGGTTTCCTCTGATTGAAGTGAAAGAAAGGATTGTTGACTGTAGACGGATTGGGGTTCCTGCAAAAATGAATATATATATAACATCACGCCTTTTATCCCAAAGGGATATAAGCAGATATTATTAAGGTAATAAGTTGAAATATTTTAATTTTTTTTTTTGTAACTTTAAAACAAGTTCTTAAAAATTGTTATATAACATTTGAAGTAATTAAATTATAGCATTAATTAAATAATATTATTTTGTAAGCAGAGTAAGTACTTTTGCGGTGCCCAAAAGGGCCTATAGTTGGAACATATTTTGTCAAAAATTGTAAACCATCCTTGTACACACACTATAGATGCATTAAAGTGATTTGACATTGAATTTTGAATTTGAATTAGATGTGTACATTACGGCACTTGATGCCACTGTGCAATGTAACACCCACTTAACTCAAAATCAAAGTCTTTATTTGCATGTTAAGGTACTATTCACTATTTATGTGATGTATGTCAAAGTCAAAGTCAAAGTCAAAATTATTTATTTCAATTAGACCATAGAGGCACTTTTGAACGTCAATAAAGAAAATTAACAATTGAAGCTATTTGCTCATGTATGTATTCACTATACAACTCTTCACTATTTATGTTATGTATGTGATGAATTGACAAAAATATTTACCCATTTCACTCGGAATGTTGACATCAGTCTGAAATGGATAGTACACGATCTGCTGGTTGATGTGACTTCCGAAACGAAGGAAATCTTCAATGTAGGCCACTGGAATAAATAACTTGAGTTATCAAATTCCAATTCAGTTATCTTGGATCAAGTTTTAATGTAACAGAGTTGGGCTAGATGTTTCCACAACGAATTCTAAAAACTGAGAAAATTGGCGGGAATGCGGTGCTCTTCTAGACACGCTCACTCACTCAACGTTTCGGCGGCGACTGTTGGCGCGAGCACGGAGCCTGCTCGAGCGTGGCGTGGGTGGGGGGGGTTTCGAATTTTGAATTTAAGCGCGAAAGCGAACACCATTTTTCTTATCGCGTTAAATAGAAGGTTTTATTCACTTAAGTACAGAGATTATCTATACATATACCTTCCTATATATGGCCTTTTATATGGCCTAAGCCGGTAAACGAGCAGACGGATCACCTGATAGTAAGCAATCGGCGTTGCCTATGGATTCCTGTAACACCAGAAGCGTTACAAGTGCGTTACCGGCCTTTTGAGGATTAGGAGTTTGAGAATTGTTGAGGATTCAGCGATTGGGGTAATTGGGCCTCCGGTAACCTCACTCACATGGCGAAATACAACGCAAGCGTTGCTTCACGTCGGTTTTCTGCTCGGCCGTGGTATCACTCCGGTCAAGCCGGCCCATTCGTGCCGAAGCATGGCTCTCCAATACGATTTTCTGAAAATAGTACCTAATAAACTTTAATTATACTTACGATCTTCTCCACTACCGCTTTCAAAGCGCGACTGGTTCATATGTGTCGCGAATACAGCCTTATCCTGGATTTTAATCACCACGTCTATGTGCACCTGATAGTAAGAGAAAAAGAGTTAGAACTTCATTATTCTTCAGCCAAATAACAGAATTGGGATGATGACAGGGTATGAAAATTAAAAATCTAATTAGTCCGTAAGTTAGGTAATGAAAAAATATTAGACACGTATTTTTTTATTTTATTATATGTATAATTTAATAATACTTAGATAAAACGAACCAAAGTTTAGGAGTAGGGGCTAAAACGTAATTTCTACGTATAAAGGTTTATTATCGCAAGACGGCGGGCGGGCGATTAAACAATCAGTGCCTTTAGCCAAACGCCACTTGAGCGCTTGTCTACAGAGAGAGTAGAAAACTAAATGTATGGGGATGACACTGACAAGTGTCAAAATTTACGTCTATCCCTTAAATTTGGTTTTCTATTCTACACGTAGACAAGCGGTAAGTGGCATTTTGCTACAACTGCTGTTGAGTTCCAGACCGGCCGTCCCATTGCGATCGGCCGCCAACGGATCTCAGAGCGCGGTAGCCGCCGCGCCCGCTGGTGCAGCGGGAGCCGCAAACAACAGCAACCGCCGCGGGAGTAATACCCGCCGTGAAAATTGTTTTGATTTTTTACATACATATCTGTCAGGGTATATTGCCACTCTGATACTCTTTTTATTTTTTATATTATTTTTTTTGCTTTATTTTTATTGCTTTTTAATTTTGTCTTTTCATTGTTATTTTATGTTTAGGTATATATTTGGTGCGTCATGCCTAATGGCAAATAAATTTATTTTCTTTCTTTCTATTCTACAAAGGCTGCAGGCCCGCAACAGCGGCGGGCGGGGAAGAAAATCGCGCCGTGAATCCTTCGCCTAAGGCATCACTAGTTAAATTTCCGAATGCAGTTTTTGTGTAGGGAAAATCTTCCAATGGCTTATCTCGCCTTGGATGAGGCGAGAGGGAGTTTATCGAGGAGAGTTATCCCCAGTTTGTCCTTCGACATAGGCTTCCTCTAAAGCTTTCACTTTTCCCTATCCCTCGTCGCGGAGAACCTAACGGGTAACCGGGGCTCCGACTCGACGTGCAGGAGAAGGAACGGGGTGGTTTTTAGTCAATAAGAGTCTGACACTCCCTCCCGCCTCACCCAGGCGGGAGCAGTCATTCGATGAATTTCCCCCCTTAAAAAAAAATCCCTCGTAATTTTAATCTATTAAGGTTTAAATACCTTCTCCGGCGCCTTAACAGCCCAAACCCTCATCTTCTTCAGGACATGGATCAGATCTTCCACCTTCAGGTTCTTCTCGTTAAAGTGGTTTAACTTCTTGAAGAGACTGGTTGCTACTCCTTGCATTACCAGGTAGATCTGGAATTAAAATAATAGATCATCATCATCATCGTCATAATCATTTAGTCAGTCCTACATAAATATGAGAGTCTGTTGTTTCTATGGGATTTTTTTTAAATGGAGAAACTCATCGAATGACTGCTCTCGCCTGGCGGGAGGAAGTGTCAAACTCTTACTGACTAAAAACCACCCCGTTCCTACTCCTGCACTTCGGGCCGGAGCCCCGGTAACCCATTAGGTTCTCCGCGGCTCCATGTTTCTATGGGGTAGGGCACGCTGCAAAGGAACAGACGGATCATCAGATGATAATCCATCTCCTTCACTCTTAAACACCCGAAACACCAGAGGACTTACAAGTACGTTGGTGGTCTTTAGGAATTAGAGGATTGGGTATTGGGGAAAGCGTTGGGCCTCCGGTAACCTTACACGGCGAAACATGACGCAAGCGTTGTCTCGCACCAGTTAGTGTGTTAGTGTTATAACGTGTTTTATGTGATAAGCGAGCAGACGGATTACCTCATGGTAAGCAAACGAAGCTGCTCATGGACACTATTGGACACCCAAAACATCAGTGACGCTACAAGTGCGTTACCGGCCCTTTGGGGATTAGGAATTTGAGGTTTGTTGGGGATTCGGGGATTAGGAATGTAGGAAAGCGTTGGGCCTCCAGTAACTTCACGCACACGGCTACACAATGCAAGCTATGTTTAACGGCTTTCTGTAAGGCCTTAGTATCATTCCTGTCAAACCGACCCATTCCTTCCGAAGCATGGCTCTCCCACGCGCTAAATCCATGAGTCCACAGTTGGAGAACCAAGGAAAGACCAACAGTATAACATAAGATAGCATAACATCGCGCCTTTTTTCCCTGAAGGGGTAGGCAGAGGTGCACATTACGGCACTTAATACCACTGTACAATGTAACACCTTCTTTTCACTATTTATGTTATGAGTTCCATGTTATAGCGGGTGAGCCTATTGCCATATACCGGGCACAATTCCAGACTCCGTGCTAGTACTGAGACTTTTTTAAACCCTATGATACTATGCCTGACCCGGGAATCGAACCCAAAACTCCTTGCCCGGCAGTGGCACTTGCGGCCACTCGGCCAACGAGGAACTCCAAAAGCAGACCAAGACTTTATTACGAATGAAAATTTAAATTACTTACATCAGCCTTAAAAGGTCGTCTACCACCGGTACACAGCCTCGCTCCAATAAAGTTCGGCAGCACACCCTCAGGGTCTCCCACACTGAACACCTGCAGTGATGCTGCACTGTCCTCCTCCTCAGCGCTGATGATGTAGTTGTTCGTCGCCCAGTATAGAGGATCAGGGTTTGATACCTGGTTCACTACGAATGGGACGTAGAATGAGCTGGAAATAAAATAAATTATAGATCAGGTCAGCAGTAAAGATACAGGCTACGTTTTCGTAGTGTCTTAGTCGAAGGAGATTCAATTCCCAAGTTGAGCAAATCGTTTTTGATTTTGGATTTCCTCAATATTATTGTATTATTGTAAATGTGGAGTGTGAAATTATAACTTAATTGATAATTAGTACTATGTGCTTACAGTTACTCTCGTAACTGTTTGACGCAGAACTCGACTAGTTTCAAGCCATGCTCGAGGCTCATATTCATGGCGTAAGTAAGCCGCAAAACATAATAATTTATTTAGTACGTTAAATACAAACTGCCTCGTTGGCCGAGTAGTCGCAAGTGCGACTGCCGGCCGGGCAAGGGGTCTCGGATACGATTCCTGGGTCGAGCAAAGTATTAGTGGTTTTTTTATTACTTCTCAGTAGTAGCATGGAGTCTGGAATTGTGCCCGGTATATGGCAATAGGCTCACCGACTATTACATGAGACTCATAACATAAATAGTGAAAAGTGGATGTTACATTGTACAGTGGCATTAAGTGCCGTAATGTGCACCTCTGCCTTCCCCTTCGGGGATAAAAGGCGTGATGTTATGTCGTTTAGGTTGTGATGTTATTATAAAAAAAAGAAAATAGATACTCACGTGACCCTGTACCCAGAGAAATTCTTGTTCGCCTCCAAATTTTTCATCGTCGCAAACCAGAACCTCTTCAGTTGGTTGTTGTGACAATTTCTTATATAATTGTGTATGAACATAAAGTCAGTTTCTCTCACATTTGAGGAACTTAGAAACGAGTGGAGAGCTATGATCCTAAGCTGTATGTGTTCTGTTTCATTCGTTATTATTGGTAGAGTCGTCTCTAGGACCTGGAAAAATAAAAAGTAATGAATGTTGTATATAGTTAGGTACGTTGAATTTAAAGTAAGGTCAAAAGTCAAAGTCAAGATTAAAGCCAAAGTTAAAGTCACAGTGAAAGTGAAACTGATAGTGAAAGTGACATGGGAAGTGGAAGTTAGAGTTAGAGTTAGAGTTAAAGTTGAAGTCAAAATCAAAATAAAAATCAAAGTCAAAGTCAACGTCAAAGTCAAAGTCAAAGTCAAAGTCAAAGTCAAAATCAAATCCAAAGTCAAAGCATTTATTTCAATAAATCCACATATAGACACACATACTTTTGAAACGTATGTCGACTAATGGAGCCGTTTGTTGGACTGGCAATTTAACATCAACAACAGTTTTTGGCAGTCCACTGGATTTTGGGCCTCGTCTACATAAGAAACTTTGCTGTAATCGCCACGGTTATCAGCAGTATTATCTTTATCATAAAAGCACACGGGTTCCATGCCCAGGGCCCCCGTTTTCAGGGGGCCTCGAATGATCGACAATTTCTATGGTAGACTGGCGTAACTACACGTTACGCGATAACCGGCTGCCCCGCAATGGATTCGATTCCCGCACAGAGAAAATCTTTGTGTAATCCACATTATTGTTGTTTCGGGTCTGGGTGTCATGTGTATGTGAACTTGTATATTTGTAAATGCACCAACGACACAGGAGAAAATCCTAGTGTGTGGCAACGTTAAAAAAAATAAATGTTTTTTTTATAGAATAGGAGGCAAACGAGCAGACGGATCACCTGATGGTAAGCGATCAGCGCCGCCCATGGACACCCGCAACACCAGAGGAGTCACAGGTGCGTTGCCGGCCTTTTAAAAAGGAGTACACTCTTTTCTTGAAGGTTTGAAGGTCGTATCGGTTCGGAAATACCGCCGACGACAGATTATTCCACAGTTTTGCTGTGCGAGGCAGGAAGCATCGTGAGAAGCGCACAGTTGTGGCCTGCCAACCATCTATATGATGGGGTTCCATATGCAGTCGTGAGGGTCGAAAATATTCCAGAAGGGCCCTGACGTAGTGTCCAAGGGCCCCAGAGTAATCTAAGACGGCCCTGGTTATCAGCTACATACATCTGTATATCATATATTACATCTGTACTGTAATTTCCAACACAGTTGAAAACAGATGTATCAGAGAGCGCTGTTGACTGTACTATACTCCGTGCAACGTAAAATTTTCAATAAAAGCAAAAATATTCTATAAACACCTTGCTTGACTTGAAAATCGAACTCGCGACTCCTCGACCGTGGAAATTACAGTCAACCTTAGACATATTTCATACTGGCAAAGCCGCGGGTAAGTAACAACACTGGTCAACTTGAAAATGTAATCCGCGACTTGTCAGTCAGCAATTAGCCTTGACTTCACTCGAACCATTGTGTTTTTCGAACCTTCTGATATAAAAAAAAAAATAAGTTTATTATTGTCTAAATTTCTGTGACTGTGAAAAAATGACTGCCTCATTAGCCGAGTGGTTGCAAGTGCGACTGCCGGGCAAGGGGTCTCGGTTTCGATTCCCGGGTTTGTAAAAACCTCAGTAGTAGCACAGAGTCTGGAATTGTGCCCGGTATATGGCAGTAGGCTCACCTCCTATTACATGGGACTCATAACATAAATAGTGAAAAGTGAGTGTTACATTGTACAGTGACATTAAGTGCCGTAATGTGCACCTCTGCCTACCCCTTCGGGGATAAAAAGCGTGATGTTATGTTATGTTATTGTCTATATTACCGTATAAGGATCTTCAGTCTTGGGGCTCCCAGCCAGAGCAGCCCAGAGTCTCTCATGCCGGTCCCTCGTAGAGTCCGTATGAATGATCCTCGTGTACGACTCAGCTGAGTAGCCAATATTGCAGAGTCCTTGAAGCCATATCATCCTGTCCAGGTATTGGGGACAGTCTGAAAGAATGGTAGAATTTGATAAAGAACTTAGATGGATGGGACAAAACTATCCCCAGGTCATTTGACAAATGTGGAGATAATCATAAACCTATTCTGATGGAAAGAAAGAAGATAAGAAAGAAAGGAACATTTGATGTCGTTTAAACTGTCAAACACCAAGCGGTCACCGGTGACCGCAACCTATTGTTCTATAATTGTGTCTACAAAACCGGTACTCGACGAGTTAAATGACTTTGATCATGCAGGTTACAATGGACACAAGAAACGAAACAATCAAGGGTATAATTATACAGAATTCTTTTTTTTAAGTGTTGGAGAGGCATGCGTCGGCACGAATGGGCCGGCTCAACATCTTGTTTTCCTATTCTCTTTTTCTACTATCATTGAGTTTTTTCTCTCTCTATCTCTGTCGGCTAGCGCTTGATTACTTTTAGCTTATGGCATTAATATACTACACTCAATAAACACATAAAAAAACACAAATCACCAAATTAATTATTATGTTTAGGAACTCGACTAGTATTTGCTAGAGGCTCATGATTGGGCCCGCACCACCGCAGAGCCGAGCAGCCAATAGCAGTGCGACAGTCACCACGTCGTGGGTCGCGGAATGCTGCTCATGAATATGAGCTTCTAGCATGACTTGTTACATGAGTAAGACGAAAACATAATAATTAACACGTTAAACGCCATAGGGGTCACCGGTGACCGGCGTTAGCGGAGGATTTACCTTCATCAGTTTTTCATTGGTCAAAGTCTTAATTTAGTATGACTCACGAAAGTTATAATAGAAATCACCTAAACTCACCGCTATACATCCTGAAATATTTCACGACGATATTGTCAAAGTAATCCTGCTTAACTTGAGATATCTCCATGGTTTTATGCAGTAGCGTTGCGAAGCTCAGTATGCCAGCGTGGCGGATGTCTGGTGGGAAGTCCAGGCCCAACTTGCTGAGGACCTCCAGCTCCTCCAAAAGAGCCTGGTTAGGAGCGGCCACATTGAAGGGTAGTTTTCTGATCAGGGATAAAAGGGCTGCGTCTTCCACCTTTTCCTGGAAAATGTGGTGTAGAGTATTCAATAGATCAACAGCCTATAAGTAGCCACTGCTAAACAAAGGCATCTTCTCAGACGGAGGTTTGAGCATTCATCACCACGCTTGCTCAATGCGGGTTGACAATTACAAAATTATAATTAAAAAATTATACGTCAACGTATACGTTTCCTCACGATGTTTTCCTTCACCGTTTGTTAGTGGTGTCTAAATAATTTTAGAAAGTACATATAACTGGGAAAATGTCACATTGGTACTTGCCGTTGGAAGGTTTCGAGCCCGCACCCTCATGCTTGAGAAGCGGGCGTCTTAAACCTCCGGGACACCATGACAATACAATACAACCTCCCACCACTTTTACCACCACTAATAAAAACTACTAATTACTAACATTGGGATGATGACAGGGTATGAAAATTAAAAATCTAATTAGGCCGTAAGTTAGGTAATTAAAAAATAAGTATTAGACACGTATTTTTTTACTTTGTCGTATAATAAAATAAACAATACTTAGATAAAACGAATCAAAGTTTAGGAGTGGGGGCTAAAACGTCATTTCTACGTATAAAATGTACATAGAAGTGACGTCACGCGACATTTCAAATCAATATATCGTCGAAAGTATTCGTTTATGTAAGAAAATAAAAAATACGTATCTAATGATTTAAAATATTCTTCTAGACGGACATTAAAATAAAAATTAGGCATCTACCCTATTGATATTAAAACACCTACAATAAAAAATAATCTTAAAACTATAACAAATAAGTTACCTTTTCCTCCAAAACCAGGTACTTGATGAACCTCACACTGGCATCGCTTCTAGCATGAGGTAGTACTTCCAAAAATATATTCCTGGCTGTTTCCAACTCATAACTGGTTCCTAGGACTAGGTCATTGAATAGGCTGATTAACGTCTCGTAGTTCAGTCTTGATATTGTGCTGTGAAACAAAAAAACATGTTATCAAACATACCTTTATTTTTATGGAATAAGCACTCTTCCTTAAGATCTGCCTCTTTCTAAAGGTCTGTGATCCATCAACTTGTTTGGCCCCTTCGCCCAAAAAATTGTGTATTTTCTAGTAAGGCAGGTTGTTGTGGGAGAGCCACGCTTTGGCATGAATAGGTCGGGTCACGCGGAGTGATACCACGGCCTAAAAGAAAACCGACGTGAAACAACGCTTGCGTTGTGTTTCGTCGTGTGAGTGAGGTTATCAGAGGCCCAATTACCCCTCACCCAATCTCTCCAATCGCTGAATTCCAAACATTTCTCAAATTCCTAATTCCCAAAAGGCCAGTAACGCACTTGTAACGCCTCTGTTGTTTCAGGTGTTCATGGGCGACACTGATGGCTTACCATCAGGTAACCACATTAGTTTGGTATCTTATTATCTTATTCATAAAAAAGTTGAGAGATGCATAATATCGGCACTACACTAACACTTACTTCAAAAGGTCTATAAAATCCAGGCTGTGTATAAGCGAAGCATTCCTCACTATGTTGTCAGCGTCTATACCTTTTCTAGCAATTTTTAAGAGCATCTGAAACAAACGTTAAAATATAGTCGTTCACACTCGACAAACACAAACACAAATAAATACATTTATTTCCATTTTGTTCACATATTAACACGTTCGTTGCATTACGAGATCTATCAGATCTCTTGCAGGACTTTTGTATTGTGCGTTGAACATAATCGTGTTCTTTCACTCCTTGCGGGAGGATCTAACATGTAAAGTTAGGAGTATGAGTAGGACCAATATACAGGTATGTATAACAGGTATGAGTAGGACCAATATACATATTTGCTTCCTACTTAAAGATGAATTCAAGGACATTAAAAAAGAAATTAAAGATGGATTAGGTCCCTAACGCACAGTACTGTAATTATTTTCATTCCTTGCGTTAGGAGATATGTCGGTACTCGTGGAATCGTACACCTCGTAGACGCAAGAGAGGGAAGGTGGACGGCGCGGGCGCTGCGTGATTCGTTTTAGTGTTGTCCTAGCATCGACGTGGGAGCTCGCGCGCACGTTTGCGAAATCACACTCGCGTATAAACCTGCGTGTTGATTATCATTTTTGTAATACAATGAGTGCTTTTAAAAAAAAAGTGAAAAAATCTATTTACATGAGACACTCGAATAACGAAACTAAATAGCACTGACGCTTCTAAAAAAACTAAACGAATTGTTACCATTTGCGCGCAATGCAAGCAATCAATGTGCTTACTATGTTTTTATGAAAAACACTTTGCATAATTAATAAAACTTTTTCAATCGACAACTGAGATATCATTTTATTCCCATCACTACTTACTACACATATTGAACTATCTTCCGTTGCGGTACGAGATACAACCGATACCATATTTTTTTTGGTATTTGTAGTTTATTCAAATGTCATAACTGCGTGCGAATCTAGCAAAATATAAAGCAATAGACTATCTTTCACCCACAAAACATTCAAAATATATTTGATTGCTTTTTTGGAAGATATAAACTATTTTGAAAACTGTATCTTTAGGAGACCGATTAGGTCTCAAACGCACCAAATGGTAGGTTAGTTTGGAGATCTTTTAGGTCTCCAAAGCACCAGATGAAAGTTTTTTGAAAGTGATGGCGCAGGGAACGTGTTAATTATTACGTGATTGGCTTACGTTAACGTTAACTGTTTGAGAAGGAACAGTCAGTAGCAGCGCAACAATCGATGGGTCGCGGTTCGCAGAATGTTACTAATAAATATGACGGCTCTCAACCGCAGCTGGTGCGGGAGAAAATCGCATCTTAAGTCCTTAGCCTTACCAGAGACGTAGCATGTCCCGTATAAAAATTTCTTATGAAGATCAAAGACTTCTCACAAGAGAATATTTTTTTCCATAAAATACTAATTATATTTGTGCGAAAACCATAAAACTTTCTAGGCAACTCCATCTGCCCAAATTATCGGACTGTGATAACTTACTTTATTTTTTCTTAACTTTCGACCAACCTTTGAACCCATGGTTTACCCGTTTTTATTAATTTTGCGTTCGTTTGTTAAGGGCCCTGTATGCGAAGGCCGGTCGGAATACACGGTGGAGGATACAGTGGCGGTGTGCCCTACGTGGGCTGAGCACCGCCGTGTCCTCTGGGATGACGTGATCAGCGACGGCGACCTGTTGCATCCTGCTCTGATTCAGACCATGATACTGAGCAAGAGGGACTGGGATGCCGTCTGCTCCTTCAGGCAGTCATGCTAATTAAGGAGGAGGCGGGGCGCGTAAAGGAAAGAACTTCCTCAAGCTTCAGTTGTAGTCCGGGGACCCCGTATATTTGATACGACAGATACGTCGTTAGCTACGCCCCTGGAAACCTGGGACGCGGGAATAGTATGGGTATGGTAGATAGATTAAAACAATACATACCTCATAAGTAACATTCTTCAGGTAGGCTTGTGAAAGGTTCCTGATCCCATTGGAAGGGTCCCTGAAGTCGCTGGCTACGTATTGTACGGTCGTCTGAATCAGGTTCAGTTTTTCAACACTTTTCGCTGCTTTATCGTGGTCGTAGGATATTGATAGGCTGAAAATAATAGTATTTTTATTATTATGTGTTTCGGCTTACTCACGTAATTATTTGACGAGGAACGCGACTAGTGTCAAGCCATGCTAGAGGCTCATACAAGGTGTTATTTTAAAGCCGCGTCATTTTCTAGGAGGTAACTAGGATATCGATTCTGAGTCCGAATCAAAAAAAAATTGTAGGTAAATATTTTTCATTTTTCTGAAATTACGGAAATCCGTAAGTGCGAACTACACGCCGCCGTCTTGTAACTAGCTTTATAACACGGCTTAACACACACAAACTCAAACACGTAATTGATATTATTCCTAATTCCATAAAACTCCAATAAGAAACATTGCTGTCGCTTATTCTGAAATACTGTCGAACTTAAACGATTTATTATAGCCGTATTATTAACTATTGAACTTTTATGACTCCTGTGACATGCCTCCGAAAAACGACACGTTTTCAAAACTACACCTTGTGTATAAATGAGCAGCATTCCGCGACCGTCGATGCGGCGACTGTTGCGTTGTTACTTTATGTAGCATGGCTTGGAACTAGTCGAGTTCCTCGTCAAATAATTACGTGAGTAAGTCGAAAACATAATAATGAACTATAAAGGGTGTCAAGTTAAGTGTACCATTCTGTTGGAGGAGCCTGGACCAATACCTGCTTAAAAAAACCAATATAATTATGTTTGGTTTCCTAAATTGTACCACAGTTTCGGAAATATCGAAAAATCACGAGTAACATTATACAGTCGCATTAAAGTGCTGCACACTTTAAAAAAAATGTATATAGCAGTTTCGTACGACAGGTAAAGTTAACTATCTCCCTCATAGTTTGGTGCACTATTTACTGGCCACCCTGTATGTATGTATGGGTATGTGTGTGTGTAAATACTCACTCAGTATTGACTGCCAGAATATGGTCATGTGTTTTGTACTGGTAACTGCCTCTCAGCTCCATTGAACTCAACCCTTTGTAGTCGTCCAGTTCATATGTCCTCTCAGCTGATGATACGGAGTCTATCTGAAATTGGACCAACTAATTTATAAACAGTTGAACTGAGTACTTTGTTTTATGGAATAGGAGGCAAACGAGCAGACAGATCATCGGATGGTAAGCGATCAGCGCCGCCCATGGACACCCACAACACCAGAGGATTCATAGCCCGTCTTTTAAAGAGGAATACGCTCTATTCTTGAAGGTTTGAAGGTTGTATCGATTCGGAAATACCGCCGACGGCAGATCATTCAACAGTTTTGCTGTGCGAGGCAAGAAGCTACGCGAGAAGCGCACAGTTGTGGCCTGCCAAACGTTTACATTCAGTCAAAAAAGTATCGGAAATGGATGATTTGTCTATGGTTGCAAATCCAAATTTTTGTTACTGGTGACGAGACTTTGACATGCAAACTAGTCAAATTACCACTTCGTAGCCCCCGTTTTCAATCGATAGAAGACATAAAGGAGAATTTGCGGCTAGAACGGAACTCAATTCCGGAAGCAGCGTTTAAAAAATGTTTTGATGAATGGATTATTCGTTGGCGCAAGTGTATCGTTTCTAAAGGAGCATACTTTGAAGGTGATAAAATAAATTTGGATGAATAACAGACATTTTGTGTATTATTGATCTTTTCCCGGTACTTTCTTGACAGAGTAGTATATGATGGGGATGCATATGCTGTCGTGAGGGTCGATAGCGAAAAGATGCTGCAGGTATCAGGTCAAATAATTCCTCAGTACTTCTTCCTTTTTGAAGTCAATAATTATAAGAAATCATGAGATGACGACGCATCTCGTGACCAGAGGGCTGGTCTTTTTCTCAGTCAGAGGTTAAGCATTGCCATACAACGTGGCAATGCTGCCAGCCGTCTGGATACTTTCCCTACTGATGTCGATGCGGACGAATTTTTCGATGCTTTATGTAAATAGTTTTTTTTAGTTTTATTTTAATTAATTTTTATTTTATATGTTGTATATATTTATTTTAGTAAAAGTTAATAATTTATTTTAATTCATTCAATTCATTTCATGTGATATAGACAGAGCATTCATAGTTCAGAAAAAATGCATTAGGGCTATATGTGGAGTAGGACCATTAGAGACATGCAAACCGCTTTTCATAAAGCTGAGCGTTATGACTTTGGCATCTCTGTATATTTTTGAGATTGGTATGTTTGTAAGAAATTATAACTTGTTTAATAGAGTGAATGAAGATAGTAAGCATTTACAACGAGATGCATCCAAACTAAAAATGGATAATTGTCGCAGTACTCTTTATGGCAAGAATTGTGCAATAATGGCAATTAGAGTATATAATAAAATTCCTCGATCTATTAGAGAACTACCTTTGCGTCAATTTAGAATTAAGTTGAAAGCATGGCTAATTGAAAAATGTTTTTACAGTATTAAAGACTTCATTGACTATGGAATTGTAGAACGAAATAGATTTTAATATTATGACATGTAATTTTACAGACATAATGTATTTGACATAATGTATTTTGCCTTGACATGTATTTAAAAAATTAATTTGACATTTTGGAATCATTATTTTGACATTACGTAATAATTAATCAATGAAATTGGATTTATATTCTATATTATATAAAGTGCCTACTATAAACAAACATTTGCATGCCTGGAAAAGGTGGAATACACTGTACTGTTGAAAATTAGACTAAGATCCATTGTATCACATGTTCCTGCGAATAAATTTCTATTTCTATTTCTATTTCTATTTCTATTTCTAATTAAGTTTTTATTGAAGTAAATGATTATATCACGAGACAGATTAAATTAATAAAGTGGTTAGAAGAACAGTTTAATGAGGTTGATGGGTGATCAAGATAGGGACCCATAGTCGTAAACCACATGCGCGAAGAATGCCACAGCGTCTGACTAACTCCTAACAAAACGAACAACGTCCTCAAAAATACGTTTTTTTAAGGGGGGACAATCATCGAATGACTGCTCCCGTCTGGGTGCGGCGGGAGGGAGTGTCAGACTCTTACTGACTCAAAACCCCGTTCCTTCTCCTGCACTTCGAGCCGGAGCCCCGGTAACCCGTTAGGTTTTCCGCGACTCCGAATCGGCATCAACCCCTGCGGACGGGGACCCACCCATGCTCGCCGACCGCTGACCGCGCTTACTGTGGCCGGAGATCGTCCCGCGATCCCCGTCGCCCGGAGTGTCCTTCGCGATGGCTGGGTTGCGAGGAGGCAGCTAGTCGTTACGTCTAATAATTTTTCTAAGCAACTTTAACGAACGACTAGAAATAAAATAAAAAGAATTCATTCAATATCATCATGTCAAAGTCAAAGTCAAAATCATTTATTTCAATTACACCAAGAAGGCACTTTTGAACGACAAAACAAAATATTTAAATATTAAATATAAAATGTCAGTCTGTCGACTAGTCCTCTTGTTGCTCTATTTGCTGGTTCCAAAGTGTGGATTCCTATGAAGACGAACGAGCAAGAAACTCCATAGGTTACTCTTTTTCGATCAGGTTCACAATACAATTTACAACATGGGGTTCTTCAAGAGGGGAGTGAATAGGTTTCTTAAGGGTCGGCAAGACGCATGTAATGCCCCAAGTGTTGCAGGCGTACATAGGCCACGGTACCCGCTTACCATCAGGTAGGCCGTGTGCTTTTTTGCCACCGTCGTGGTATAAAAAATAAAAAAGCAATTCTTAGTTACATTGCATCGTTGGTACAATTATGTGAGAACAATGTATTCAGTCAAGGAGAAGGAAAAAGAACATAATTATCCTTGATCATCATAATCATTCGAAAGTCTTACTAGAATTCTCCACTCTCCTATACTCACCACACTCCTTCCAGTATACACAGAAGACCATGGAACAGAAGCCCAGCTGTTCCTACTCCTGGCTGTAGGCACCTTCAAGCTAGTGAATTTCTTGATCAGGTTGCCCCGTGAGAGGTATATCATGGCACAGATGTCGTCTAGACAGGGCTGGAGAAGAAAAAATTAAGGAAAGATTAAAATTCTGATCGTTTTATTAATTGACTGGTTGCAAGTGCAAATGTTAAGCAAGAGTTCGTATTCAATGGCCAAAATATTCAAAATACACTTTAAAGTGTGGGACAGTCATGCTTCGGCACGAATGGGCCGGCTCGGCCGGAGTGATACCTCGGCCTCACGGAAAACCGACGTGAAGCAAGGCTTGCGTTGTGTTTTGTCGTGCGAGTGAGGTTACCGGAGGCCCAATTACCCTCACTATTCCCCAATCCCTGAATCCTCAACGATCCTCAAACTCCTAATCCCCAAAATGCCGGTAACGCACTTGTAATGCCTCTGGTGTTCCAAGTGACCATGGGCGACGCCGATCGCTTACCATCAGTTGATCCGTCTGCTCATTTACTGGCTCATCCCACAAAAAAACAACATTATTATGGAATTTTTCACCCACACTGGATAAATTTTAAGCGAAAGAGGTATGTAAGAATCGTAGTAATTGGCGTTTCATAGTCTTTGCCTACCCGTGAGACAGCCGTGAAGTTATGTATATGGATAAATGTAGCAGTAAGTCCATACAAGTCAGTATCCACTTGATATCTGCACCTCTGTCAATAGTAGCCGTTCGAGGATCAAAAACAAGTTTTACAGGATAAAGAGTAAACGAGACAGGAGTTACAAGTATGTTGCCTTTTAAAAAGCATATTTTTATGCTATTTTCTTATGAAATACGAAAGAAAGAAAGAAAAATAGTTTATTTGCACACCATCACAAAATACAATACCACAATAAAAATATTTTAAAAAAACAGTGAAGACGGCGCAAAAAGGCCAGAGCTCAACTTAAATCTCGTGACCCGAGCACAGGAGCTCAAGTAACGGCGCTGATTTTCAGCACTTGCCCGTATCTATATGCTATATTATAATATGTATCTTGTTCATAAATCTCACCTCATTAACAGAATAAGTTCCACTGTCCTTAGTGACCTGGAAGTTGATGGATATGGCCCTCTTCAGGTTCACCGACCAGGCTGGTTCCTGGCCAACGTATATCGACTTTATGTAGCCGTTGTCCTGGAAAATAAGTAATTGTATTAGTACAAAGTAAATATGAATAGACTAGCATCTGCCAGCGGCTTTGCACGTTTCCAGGGGTAAAAAGTAGCCTATGTATTACTTCAGGCAATAATATACCTCTGTTCCAAATACTATCTCGGTCCCTTCGGCCGTTTTGATGCGACTGAGTAACATACACACACAAACTTACATACAATTTCACATTTATAATGTCGATTCAAACTAATTTCAACCATCGGCCCAACAGTTACAGCGTAAAGTCCAAAGACAAATTTATATTTGCCTTTGGTACAGTAACTGTGTTTAGGGATTGAGCTGCACAATTAAGTTTGTTTGTGTATATAAAATTTCGGGATAAAAATACCCAGTTTCGTGCCCAGGATATTTAAATTAAGGACAAGTTCCATCATAATTCGACCAATGGTTTTTGCGTGATGTGTGAACATACGGACAGACAGAACAAAATTTACTGATTGCATTTTTGGCATCAATATTGATCCTTAATTAAGCACCCACTGATGCATATTTTAGTAATATATTTCATGTACAGAATTGACCTTTCTATAGTTTTATTATAAGTATTTTTTAAGGGGGGGGAAAATCATCGAATTACTACTCCCACCTAGGTGAGGCGGGAGGGAGTGTCAGACTCTTACTGACTAAAAACCACCCCGTTCCTTCTCCTGCACGTCGAGACGGAGCCCCGGTTACCCGTTAGGTTCTCCGCGACTCTGATTATTATAATTATAGATATACTAATTGACCCGGCATCGTATCGCCTAAAAATTCAATTTCTCACCATTTCAAACCTTCGCTCGACTTACCATGGTACAAAGTGTGTAAGGAATGATTTGAAAGAGAAGAGCGTTTGGGGTATGATGTAATTGGAACAAGGGACCAGAATCTACTATAAAATTGGGGAAACCGGGAGTGACGTCTTTGATTCTCCACTTTTTGCAATTATTTTATGTTTAGTATCTAGAGCAGCGTCTCTAAAAACCGGTGATCCCATAGAATGCCATACATTACCTGGTACTCCAATTCCCATGGTTCTTTAAGGAATTGATCATCATCGGTCTCCAGTTCACGCATTGGTCCATGGTCCGTGCAACATACTAATTTCTGTAAAAGTGAAAGATATGAAACTTAATTTCTTTTCAGTTTATTTTAGAAATATAATTTAAATGACAAAATAAATAAATATGTACAACTTAAGATACAGTAAAACTTAAAGATAAAAATGTAATAAAAGAAAACATGAATTTCTCAATGATGGATTTCTTTCAATCATCGAGACAGCAGTCCACTTTTGCAACAGCCCGATATAGCACTGGAATACTCCCTCATTTGCCATAATCATCAGGCTTGGCAGGATTAAAAATCGTAGTTCAAAAATTTATATTTATCAGAGAGCATTGCTGGTTGCGTCTCTGACAATTGTGTAGTCAGTCGTTTCGGTTATTATAATTAAGGGGAGAAAATAATCGGGTAACTTCTTCCACCTATAGTGTCAGACTCTAACTGATGCGACCTCCTTGATAAAAGTTAGAGTCGATAACAAATGTATTTATTCCACTATAACAACACGATATGTTGTTTATGCCATAAGCCGGTAAACGAGCAGACGGATCACCTGATGGTAAGCAATCGGCGTCGCCCATGAACATCCGAAATACTATAGACGTTACAAGTGCGTTACCGGCCTTTTGAGGATTGTTGGGGATCCAGGGATTTGTAACATTGGGGAGGGAGTAATTGTAAATATGACATCATCCTCACAAGACAATCCACTTCCTCACATAGGCCTTTCCAACGTCGACCAGATCGGCCAGTTGGAAGCGACCTGCGTGTATATTCATTCAGTAAATATTATAATATACAATAATTATCAATTTATAACATAACATAACATCACGCCGTTTATCTCCGAAGGGGTAGGCAGAGGTGCACATTATGCCATTGTACAATGTAACACTCACTTTTCACTATTTTACGTTTTGAGCCCATGTGATAGGGGGTGAGCCTATTGCCATATATCGGGCACAATTCCAGACTCCGTGCTACTATTGAGATTTTTTAAAAAACCCAAAATTTTGCCCGACGAGGCAGTGTACCAATAAAATATCAATTTATACTTTACCTCTAATTCATCCAAAAACAATCGTGCCTTTGTGAAATTGTCATACACCTGTATATGCAAGTTGCCCTGCAACTGCCAATAGGTGGCGCTTTTCCGAGGGTTCCAGGTGCCAGTGGACACATTACTTTTTAATATATAGACGTATTCTCTATGCTCGTGTGGAAACATTAGCTGTAGGCCAGATCTTAGAGAGCTTGTGGTTGATATTGTTACTGAAAAAAAAATAATAATAATAAATAAGCTTTATTGTACACCAAGCAAGTAATTACACATATTCGGATATTATAAAGAATAAGGAGGGTACAAGGGCGGCCTTATCGCTAAAAGCGATATCTACCAGGCAACCTTTGGGTGTATGGAACGATGGTTAATTTAAGAGGGTAGTCCAGGCATACATAAATATTAACCACTAACAAAATAAATAAACAAACATATATATATACTAAATTATATACACATACATGCATACCAAATATAAATATATACATATATATATATATAGATTCCAGGATGTAAATATAAATACATATACATAACCATAACCATAACCACAAAAATATTTAAAATTTTGTATTATATTTGGGCATTATTGGACGTATTCTTGATTAGTCAAGTGATCGTGGCCATCGGTAGAACGACTTTTAATGGGACAAGTCCGCCACAACCTCCCAAAACCGCTGCAACTCCTGTAAGCCAGGATCTACAGTAGATACAACCATGAAAACACCAGAACATTGAAGTCCGGCGCGTCCCAGTGACATGAGTAACTGTCTTGGTTCCCGCAACGAAGTGAATCAGAAGATATTATAAGAGGAGAAGAAGAAAAAAGTATGGTTTCCACGGGAGAACGACTCCCAAATAAACGATGTCGAGTTTAAATACCACTCCATTTCTACTCCTGCACTTCGAGCTGGAGCCCCGGCAACCTGTTAAGTCCACCGCAGCTCCGACCACTACCACTGCCCTTATATTATTACAAATGGTTTTAAGACATACTTACCAATAAACATGAAGAATATTCTTATATTCATTTCCATTTTTGTAGCTGAAAACAAAATAAAATAGTTATATGAAGTCATGACAATACCAACAATTCAGCATATACGTGTGCCACTGGACAGTGAACCTCGCTACGATCAGTTGACTGGGCATCTACACTACACGAGTCACTGTTTACATGTGAACTAAGCTCATGACGCTACCAACGTACGTATCACTGGATAGTGAACCTCGCTACCATCAGTTGACTGGACATCTACACTACACGAGTCACTGTTTACGTGTGAACATTAGCTCATGACGATACCAGCGTCCGTGTGTCACTGGACAGTGAACCTCGCTACCATCAGTTGACTTGACATCTACACTACACGAGTCACTGTTTACATGTGAACATTAGCTCATGAAGATACCAGCGTACGTGTGTCACTGGACAGTGTACCTCGCTACCATCAGTTGACTGGACATCTACACTACACGAGTCACTGTTTACATGTGAACATTAGCTCATGACGATACCAGCGTACGTGTCACTGGACAGTGAACCTCTCTACCATCAGTTGACTGGACATCTACACTACACGAGTCACTGTTTACATGTCAACATTAGCTCATGACGATACCAGCGTACGTGTCACTGGACAGTGAACCTCGCTGCCATCAGTGGACAGACACTACCCTCGCTAAAATTATAATTATTGAATTTAAAATTATAAAACAAATCCTTGATATTCCTGAAAAACTGACAGCAAGTTCAATGACCCTTGAAACCAGCATCAGTCATTTAGGCAACGCCTAATTCCGTTGTTCTACGCAATCACATTTTATTCAACCCTGAATTGTACAAAAATTACATTTAAACTTACATTTCTTTTCACTTTTAACCACTACGTATCACTCTCACTGTCAATATGTGATTATTTAATAATTAATAATATAATAGTAGATGTTATTATTGTATTATTATTGAATTATTATATCACAGTCAAGTGTAATGTGGTCGGACATCGCCGCTTGAATGACTCTTGTCGGAATCGAATGAGAAACCGGCGTATGTGTGAAATTTTATTTTTTGTGTGATGAATATAATTTTATTATTCTTATGATATTTTCGTATATTTTTAATCGCCGATTGATTTTTGATTTTAATTATGTATGTACTTAGATTTTTCATTTCAATCTTTTATTTTATGTTTTAATTCTAAATTAAAGTATTTCTTAGTTTTTAGTTTATTTTTCAGTTGTCACTAATACTGATAACAGTGTCATCGTTAGGCTACTGTGCATGTTGTGACACCTTAAAATGTTGTGCATTTAAAATTTATTACAAAGTAAGTGCTTAGATATAAGACCTAATGTAACACCTACTGTCGCGGAGAACCTAACGGGTAACCGGGGCTCCGGCTCGACGTACAGGAGAAGGAACGGGGTGGTTTTTAGTCAGTAAGAGTCTGACACTCCCTCCCGCCTCACCCAGGCGGGAGCAGCCACTCGATGACATTCTCCCCTTAAAAAAAAAGTGTAACAACTACTAATTGTCCAAATTATAAATAAATAAATAGCTGAACTATTATTGGCTACCCTATTAGTTCAGCACCACTAATGAGCAAATATTCGATTCCTGTGTGGGTTACGCGATCATCATCAAAACATTCAAGAAAATAGCGTCTTCCTTTTAACTCGTCGAGCACCGTCATTATAGACACAATTAAAGAACAATAGGTTGCGGTCACCGGTGACCGCTTGGTGTTTGACAGTTTAAAAGGCCGGCAATGCACCTGGACTCGACTTTTTTAGTGTACCCGCAACACTAAAAAAGTCCAGGAGCGGCTTTAATCCCCAAAGAGGTAGACAGAAGTGCAAATAATGCACTTAATGCCCACTGTACCATGTAACACCCACTTTTCACTTAATGTTATATGAGTCCCATGTAATAAGAAGTGAGCCTATTGCCATATACCGGGCACAATTCCAATCTCCGTGCTACTACTAAGAATGTTTTTAAAAGATCAATACTTTGCTCCACCTAGGAATCAAACTGGAGACCCCTCCCTTGCTTGGTCGCACTAGCGACCACTCAGCCAAACAGGCAGTAAACCGTAAAATACTTAATAATACTTTGCTCAAGCACTCAATCAGCAAAAAGTTCTCAAATACTCAACCAAAATTAAATAATAGTCTTAAAATTACAATCTTCGTCATTACTCAAAATTCTTTACTTACGCCGCTTTGCCTATAACTCTCTTATCAAACAGCGTTGATAACTACTTGACCTCTAACCCTTGAATTGAACGACTCATTAAAACCCGTCCAATATACCCTGAGCCCTCACATCTCATACTCCCATCACAATGTAGAATCAATTACTTAGACCCAAGATGAGAGGAGAGGTCAAGGATTTTTGGTCTATTAGCATAGCGCTTCGGGCTTTAGTACAAGGCCATAAGAATTAAAAATTATACTTAAAATTGGATTTCTGTGAACTGCAACTCATCTACCTATAGTTCATGACAGTCCACTGCTGCAGAATGGGCCTCCTGTTTATAAGATTATGGGACGACGTGCTCCACCGTAGATCGCATCATCGTTCGTCACCAGGCGCGATAGTGGTCAAACGTCGGCCCATCAAATATGAAAAAAGATAGTTTGTCATAATCTACATACTCCGAAGGGTTGGACATCACAGTTTAGAAGGTTCAGGTTTATCAGAGATCGCTAAAACGCGTCTCTGTGGCAGTCCCTTGGTCAGTTTTTGCGATAAACTGTGGAATGACCTGTCGTTGGCGGTATTTCCGAACCGATACGACCTTCAAACCTTTAAAAAAAGAACGTATTCCTTTTTAAAAGACCGGCAATGCACCTGTGACTCCTCTGATGCTGATCGCTTACTGTCAAGTGATCCGTCTGCTCGTTTCTCTCCTATTCTATAAAAAAATACACGTAGGAAGGTGGGAGTGATCTTCAAGTGTATTTCACTCTGTCGTCTCATGTAGTGTAGATGTCCAGTCAACTGATGGTAGCGAGGTTCACTGTCCAGTGACACACGTACGCTGGTATCGTCATGAGCTAATGTTCACATGTAAACAGTGACAAAAAATAACATGAGTGCATTTTGAAGCGTATAATTTTCAGCCCGCATACATTAGTGCTAAAATGAGAGTACATACAGTTTTTAGCTCTCTGGCTTTGCTCGTGCTATTCATCATCAATCAAATTATGTCCGCTTTTAGCCAACTTATATAGCTTATAGCAAACGAGGCAGATAATATAATCTAAAACAAATTTCCGTGAGCTTAAAGCGTTTTTGCCATACCATTTATTGATATCAAATATGAACACAACACAACACCTCACACGTAGGACCCACTTAATCATCAATAGCCTACGAGTGCTGCTGAGCCTCTTCTCACACGGAGAAGGTTTGAGAATTAATCACCACGCTTGCTCACTATGGTTTCGCTATTTCAAACTTATATTTAGAAATTATAAGTTCTAAGTCCAGGTTTCCTCACGATGTTTTCATTAACCGTTTGGCAGTGGTGTCAAAATAATTTAGGACGTACCAATAACTTGGAAAAAGTCTCATTGGTACTTACCATTGGTAGGTTTTGAACCCGCACCCTCATGCATGAAAAGCGGACGTTTTAACCTCCGGGCCATCACGATAGGACCCACTTAGGTTTTAGTTATATTTCCGTGGTGCCTGGCGACTGGGCTTCTCCCAATTGTGCAGTCTCTTCTTGTGCCTTTAGGCTTAATTCATTCTGTCTCCTGCAGTAATTCACCGAGGGAAGTGGTAACTATTTTGAAGTTTGTATTCTTCTTCTCTTATAAAATCTTCTAATTTACTTCGTTGCGGGAACCGAGATAGTTATTCATATCCTTGGGACGCGCCGGACTTCAGTGTTCCCGCGTTTTCAATGTTGTACTGTAGATCCTGGCTTATAGGAGTTGCAGCGGTTTGGGGGAGTCGTGGCGAGCTTGCTCCATTAAAAAAAATACTTTTATCTCTGAATTAGCTAATGTTTTTTGGTCTATCAGCTGCAAGTACCTTTTTTTGGTGACTCGAAAACCCGTCAAAGGGCGCCTAGCTTTTTGGGGAGAAAGACTAGGAAGTGTAGGATTCTTACCTCACTAAAACCACCCCGGTGGCCACCCTCGGCACCTGTAAGGGGCACCGGGTTCTCTGAAAGAGACCTGCTCCGGAGCCCCCACGGTGCAATGCCTGTTTCAGCACATCCCTAGGGATATGTGCGTAGCCACAAGTGCCTATGGTTAAAAGAACATACGTACTCACAGTCACCCAGTTACTCCCCCCCTCCTCCGTTCCCTTCCATTCGCTCATTTACCGGCTTATCCCATAAAAAAATGCCATGATGCGGAGCAAAGGGGACTGGGATGCCGTCTCCTCTTTTTGCGAAGCAGTTATGCTAGCTAAGGAGGAGGCGGGACGCGTGAGGCAGCGAAGCGCTGCCTCCTCGCATTCCAGCCATCGCAAAGGACACACCGGGCGTCGGGGATCGCGGGACGATTTTCGGCCACCGTAAGCACAGGCCTGCGGACGGCGAGCATGGGTCCCCGTCCGACCAGAAACAGATCCGAGCGTACGGCGCGTCGCGTTCCGCACGTGCCTCAAAGAGCCATCAGACCACCACAGATGGGGCCCAACAGGGCCGATGCCGATTCGGAGTCGCGGAGAACCTAACGGGTTACCGGGGCTCCGGCTCGACGTGCAGGAAAAGGAACGGGGTGGTTTTTAGTCAGTAAGAGTCTGACACTCCCCGCCACACCCAGGCGGGAACAGTCTACCGATGATTTTCCCCCTTAAAAAAGGACAAACAAACCCATTCTTATACAGACGTGTTGTATATACATAGTAGTTTTGGAACTTATATTTCGTAACCAATGTCTATATTATAAACGTTTGTGTTTTGGTCATGACACAACTATAGAACAGCTGCACTGAATAGGATAAATTCTTTTGTTTTTGACCAAAGGAAATCTTAAGACGTTTAAAATATACGATCTTATTTTAAAAAATGTGTTCGTTGAAGAAATCTTCTTTAGTGATTATATTACTGCTGAATAATGGTAAGTATCTATGTGATATATGACTTGACTGCACGGTTGGTGCGGTGGCTGGGCAACCGGCTGCCGTGCAACGTGTCGCGGGTTCGATTCCCGCACGGGACAACACTTTGTGTGATCCACAAAGTGTTGTTTCGGGTCTGGGTGTCATTGTGTATGTGAACTTGTATGTTTGTAAACGCACCCACGACACAGGAGAAAATCCTAGTGTGGGGCAACGTTTTTTAAAAAAAAAAAAAAAGATATGAGATCTTTTTAAAAAACCCAGTAATACTTTGCCCAACCCATACCTTCAAAGAGTAACGAATGAAGTTTCTTGCTCGTTCTTTTCTATTCGAATCTGCATTTTGGAATGAGCACTTATTTTCACCTAGCTTCACTGACGGACTGACTGACAGACTATTATTTATTTTGTATTTGTTGACGGTTCAAAAGTACCAAATTATGGTTTAATTGAAATAAATGCTTTGACTCTGACTTTGACCCGGGAATCAAAATCAAACCCGAGACCCCTTGCCATACTTGCTGCCACTCGGCCAATGAGGCAGACAGTTTATCTTTAATATAAAAGTTGTGAATACTACATCCTACTTATAATTGTATTTATTTTTCAGAAATATTTGCTCTGAAAAAGATTTCTCGACAGAAGAGGTAAGTTACAGATATTAACTCAATGTAAATACCATCGATGAAACCAGAATACCAATCATCATCAATAGCCTATAAATGCCCACTGCTGACCAAAGCCTCTTCTCACACGGAGTAGGTTTGACAATTAATCACCACGCTTGCTCAATGCGGGTTGGCCATTTCAAACTTATAATTAGAAATTGTAAGTCCAGGTTTCCTCACGATATTTTCCTTTACCGTTTGTCAGTGTACCTATTATATATTTGTTGGGCCGACGTTTGACCACTATCTCGCCTTGTGGTAAGCGATGATGCGGTATGAGCAACCTATTCACTCGTGTTTTGAAGACACCCAGTTTATACCCTTCAGGAAATACAGACTCTGGCAAAAAATAATATTAGAAAGTACATATAACTCGATAAAGGTCACATTGGTACTTGCCGTTGGTAGGTTTCGAACTCGCACCCTCATGTATGAGAAGCGGGCGTGTGAAGGAAACAAATGATTTTTAATGTGACTACACGATTGGCGCGGTGGGTGGGAAACCGGCTGCCGTGCAAAATGTCGCGAGTTCGATTACCGCACGGAACAACTCTTTGTGTTATCCACAGATTGTAGTTTCGGGTCTGTGTGTCATGTGTATATGAACTTGTATGTTTGTAAACGCACCCACGATACAGGACAAAATCCTAGTGTGGGGCAAGGTTTTATGAAAAATGTAATTCTATTGATTGCCCGGGATTTTTACGGTACGTTTTGGATAATAAGAAATTCGATAATTATAGCAGCGATATATGGTCTCCACTTTCCTAGAAACATCTTAATTGGCTGCCACCGCCTTGATCGCCTTGATACGAGTTCATTTCGATTCATTTTTAATATGTACAAATGATCATATTCATTACATTAATAAAGTTAACTAAAATCGCGGGTTACTCACGTGAATATACTGAGATAAGCTCTACTAGTTTTGAGCCACGGACAGTTTCAGTATATTCACGTGAGTAACCCGCGATTTAAGTTAATTTAGTCTCACGATAGTTATTATAAAAACATTAATAACCTTTGTCTGTAAAACTGGATCTATTGCAGACGCGATTCACGAATCTACCATACGTAAAGGCATGCGGCCTTTACGTATTTGGACTATGCCTGACGATTTACATCGCTGTAAGGACAAAGGGGCAGACGTACTCCATCACCACATTATCGCTTACCAACAGGCGAGATAGAGGACAAATGTCGGCCCATCAAATATAAAAAAAAAATTTACAATTGGGTACTTGTCAGCTAGTCAAATTCAATATATTTTTCGAACTGTCAAAAACGAGAGTGTTCTATGAATTTTGTACGAGATTGTGTATTGTGACGTCACGTTTTTTAGCGTCAAACAGCATACTTATTTCTTAAAAAATAGCGGGAACAATTCTAAAATTAAGTTGGTTTTTAGATTAATGAAAGTGTCATTATTTTTTATCTAATATATGTTATTGTATTGAACAGTCGATTTAATTATTGTTGATCAAGGAAAGTACCCAATTTAAAATATCTTTGCAGATGCATAGTGATTCAGAAGCAGACTGGAGGTAAAGCGGACAGCGGAGAAAGAGCTGATGACGACGATTATGACTACAATAAAGGATCTCCTCCTAAACTTACTCCAGATCGACTCAGGAGTAAAGGTGATGAAATGAAGAAACGAGATGACGTGGAGGTTTGTACCTAGTAATCACTAGAAAGAAAGAAAGAAAGACAAGGCATTTTTAAATTTGCTGATGTCTAATTGGTGACTTGTTCATCCGCGAGTCACTTAAGGGGCCAGTATAATACCAGCGCGAGGCTCTGTCTTGCACATGCTGAACTGGTCCCATTTCACCGCAGACTTATATTTTTTTTACAAAGGGTAAGTTAATCATCGATTGACTTCTCCCGCCCGGGTGAGACGGGAGGGAGTGTCAGACTCTTACTGACTAAAAACCACCCCGTTCCTTCTCCTGCACGTCGAGCCGGAGCCCCGGTAACCCGGAACAGGAGAAAACGGGATTGCGCGTACGTAGTCGCGGGCAGAAGCTAGTAAAAAATAAAAGTAAATATACTTTTATAATACAAAATAATAATAATAATGAACGTTAAAAAAGTAAAGAAAAGAACAATAATACAACAAAATAAAACAAAGTATGTACAATACAATAATTATGTATGAAGAAAACCGACGTGAAGCAACACTTGCGTTATATTTCCTCGTTTGAGTGAGGTTACCAGAGGCCAAATACGCCCCTCCCCTTCCCCAATCTCCCCAATCCCTGAATCCCCAACGATCCTCAAACTCTTATCCCCAAAAGGCCGGTAACGTACTTGTAACGCCTCTGGTGTTCCGGGTGTCCATGGGCGACGCCGATTGCTTGCTAGTCGAGTTTAACAGTTACCTGAGTAAAGCGAAAACATAATAATGGCGATATCTGTTTAATATTTACAATTAAATAACTTAAAATGAATAAAATTTAACTAATTACATTTAATACCGTGTCTAAAAAATGATCAAACTTTGTTCAACACTGAATTAAATCTAAACCAGACCAAAAAATCTAAAATAACATTCATTTAAATTTTAACTATTTCAAACTCCCAACCAACGAAATATTTAAGAAGAATATATTTTCAAAAATCTTTTTTAAACCCTTCTTACGTCACATTTTCCCCTCTATCGAAGCAAATAATCACAATGGGGTAGATTTCGAAAAATAGGTCACCCACGACCTGTGCAGACGAGCAACTTTTTTATGGGATAGTGGCAAACGAGCAGACGGATCACCCGATGGTAAGCAATCGGCGTCGCCCATGGACACCTGAAACACCAGAGGCGTTACAAGAGCGTTACCGGCTTTATGGGAATTAGGAGTTTGACGATTGTTGGGGATTCCGGGACTGGAGAAATTGAGGAAGGGAAGGGGGAGGTAAACAGTCCTCTGGTAACCTCATTCACATGACGAAACACGACACAAGCTTTGCTTCAGTTTTCTGTGAGGCCGTGGTATCACTCTGGTCGAGCTGGCCTATTTGCGCCGAAGCATGGCTCTCCCACACATAGTTATACTAAATTTTATAGTTTTTAACCAAGCCACAACGTCGTCGTCGCTTCAGTACCCAACCAATGGTTACTGTCTCTGAACTGAGTTTAACTCGTTGAGTACCGTCATCATAGACACAATTAAAGAACAATAGGTTGCGGTCACCGGTGACCGCTTGGTGTTTGACAGTTTAAACTGTCAGACACCGCGAGGACACCGGTGACCGCAACCTATTGTTCTTTAATTGTGTCTATGATGACGGTACTCGACGAGTTAAACGACAAAAGTTATGTTCTATATTTCATTTTCTATGCGGACGAAGTCGCTAGTTACACACAAATTTACATAAGCACATTTATAATATTAATAAAATAGGTTTGATAAGTAAATATATTGTTTTACTAGCTTCTGCCCCCGAATTCGTACGCGTAATCCCGTTTTCTCCCATTCCCGTAGGATTCCAAGATTTTTTCTGTCTTAAGAACCTTCTCCTAATAATAACAAATATAACAAAAAAAGAATTAGTGAAATCGGTCCAGCCATTCACGCATGATGCCGAGACAAAGAGAAAAAGGGATTAATTTTTATATGTACGAGCTACTTCCGCGCGGTTTCACACGCTCTGCTTAGCTCCTATTGGTCGTAGCGTGATGTTTTATAGCCTATAGCCATCTTCGATAAATGCGCTATCCAACACAAAAAGAATTACTCAAATCAGACTTGTAGTAACGGAGATTAGCGCGTTCAAACAAACAAACAAAGAAACAAACTCTTCCGCTTTATGTAATAGTATAAGATATTTTATAGATTATTATCCTCAACGGACAAAAGTATCTCGTCTGCACCGCCCCTACTTTTGCAAAAATTCACCCCTGGCCGATTTTAAACCGGTTTTTAAAGTCACTGAAGCTAAAGGGTTAGTGTAAGCATTGTAATGAGGTTAAGTAAATGGAGCGAGGTTTAGAAAAGGATGGGTTTTTAGGACAATAGTTATTTTGGACGGATTTTATGCTCGTGTGGGTAGTTTTTGGTTTTGTTATTGATCTAAACGTGTTAAATTTTTAATATTTTAAAACATTTTTTTTTTCTTTTTTTTACACAAATAGTTGCCCCACATTATGATTTTTCCTTGTATCGTGAGTGCGTTTACAAACATACAAGTTCAAATATACAATGACACCCAGACCCGAAACAACAATTTGTTGATCACACAAAGTGTTGTTCCGTGCGGGAATCGAAACCGCGACAGCGATGCCGCCCAGCCAAGCTGTATCCTTCTACGAGCTTCCCTCTCGAAGTTGTTTCTACCAAACTGTAGGGTTTGTCCTAGGTAGACATACTCCTGAACAACCTCGAGAGTAGACCCATTCAGGGTGATCGGCTCCGGAAGAACATGTTCATTGAACATGACCTTCGTTTTGTCTAGGTTCATCCGGAGTCCAATGCGAGCAGAAGAATCAGCCAGGCTGTTCAGCATATATTGTAGGTCTTGCACGGTTTCAGCCACGATGACGATGTCATCTGCAAATCTCAAGTGTGAGAGATACTTGCCGTTTATATTTATGCCCCGTCCATTCCAGTGCAGCGTCTTGAACATATCCTCCAAAGCAAAAAAAGTTATTATTTATTTTATTTAAGTATTTATTTATTACACATAATTTAATCACCGGGAACATTCGCCTATATGTAACGTTACAGATCTGAGCTTTACATCAGTGAAGGAGGAGAACCGAGCATTACAATGCGCGCCTTGTAATGAAACAATGTGTAATATCTTGATACAACTTGTAACATCAATGCCCCCGGTTAGTGCAGAACTATTGTGGATAATTGAAAAATAAAAGTAGGACTATAGATGGGTTGTGGACTGGTAAATTGGGAACTATGGATGACTATGGCACCTGCCAAAACAATGTAATTTTAACACGTAAAAATGGCTGGCGGAGACTCGCCAACTCACCGACCCGGCTCCGGGAATGGTTGCTAGATATAGCAACAGAGGGGCAACGAGAATGTGAGTGGCTGAAGGGTTAAGAAACTGCCACCGCTTTCTATTCAAATCATTTGCTTCAACCAACTCCTCCTGCATCCCTGGCCCACTCGCGACTTACGAATAGTTTCTTACCCTCCGAGCAGGATCGCTACCCTCGCGACTCCACTCTGGACGGCCAATGAAGGCAAGCCAGGGGTGGGAGATCTGTTCCTCGTCATCGTTCACTCCAGCCAGCCGATTAAGGCAAGCCGGAGAGTAAGGAACGGTGACTTCTCCCTGGAGCACTCGGGATGATGGTAGCCCGCGAGGTCGCTAATGCATTATTATTATTATATTTGTATATAGGTTAAGACCTCACCTATTTCTGGGGAAAAACACCAAAGTTGCGGACTTTTGGTCAAAGCAACCTTGGGGATATTTTTTAAAAACCCAGTAGTACTTTGCCCGACCCGGGAATCGAACCCTGCGACTGCCGGGCAAGGGGTCTCCCCTTGCCCGGCAGTCGCACTTGCGACCACTCGTCCAACGAGGCAGTCTTGTATTAATTGTTTTTCTCTTTTCAGAGTCTCCCACGAGAGTTACAGACATATCAACTACCGAACAAGATCATGTACCGACAGATGCGACTTAAGAATCGGTTGTTGAGGAGCAATCTTTATTAATATGAATGAATACTAGTAAACCGATCCGGCTTTGTTTGGCTGCTTTTCAGATATGATTTCGGCAATGTAAAAATGTATCTTTTTGTTTGTAGATGATTTTTAAAATATACTACATTACTCTGATAATTGTACTAAATGTATTTTTATTTATTCACAATATAACATCACGTCTTTATCCCCGAAGAGATAGGCAGAGGTGCACATTACGGTACTTAATGCCACTATACAATGTAACACCCAATTTTCACTATTTAAGATAATAAATCCCATGTAATATGGGCTGAGCCTATTACCATATACAAGTCACAATTCCGGACACCGTGTTACTACTGAGAATGAAAAAAAAATTGTACTTTGCCCGACTCGGGAATTGAACCCGACAACCCTTGCCGCCGCAGTCGCACTGGGCAACGCAATATATATCGTAATACCCATAATCTGTGTGCTCCATACTGGGAGTCGAACCCGAACAGCCTTGCTGGCCTATTGTCTCATCACTCAAACAAAATTTTTGTTATCGAGACGCGCGGCCGCGCGTCAGCCAAGTTCAGCAAACAGCGCGAGCCATAGTGTTATGTTTCAATTGATGTAGTTTGTTGGTTGTGTAGCGAGAAGACTCCCCGAAAATGATAACAATGATTAAGCCGGTAAGCAATCGGCGCCGCCCATGGACACCTGGAACACCAGAGGCGTTACAAGTACGTTACCGGCCTTTCAAGAATTAGGAATTTGAGGATTATTGGGGATTCAGGGATTGGGGAAATTGGAGAAGAGAAGTAATACTGTAGTTGACAGTTAGTCAAATTCAATACTTTTATTAGAATGTCCAAAACGAGTATCGTTTTCTATAAATTTTGTATTGGATCGCCGATCGTCATCATTTTTCTGCGTCAAATAGCATACTTATTTCCTTAAAATTAGCGAGAAAAATAAGTAAATTGTAAAATCAATGGGTATGATTATTTTTTAATTATTTATTACATTGAAAAGTTGAAACAATTTATTTTAAACCTAAGAAACTAGCCAATTGGGCCGCCGGGAACCTCACTCACACGACGAATCTACACTCCCAAGCGTTTGTTCCATGTCGGTTTTCTGCTCGGCCGTGGTATCACTCTGGTCAAGCCGGCTGATTCATGCTGAAGCATGGCTCTCCAACACTTAAAATGATAAAATGATGGCCCAATAAAACAGTAAAATTCAAATTCTACGTGGACAAAGTCGCAAACTTTATATGAAAAGAAAACAAATAAAACATATTAATTTCTCATTTATTACCAACTTACTCGAAACATTCGTTCCAAATACATTTCGAATTTATACAATCTCATTAAAATTAACCTTAAACATAGCGTATAAAATATTTTCAATTATAACCTATAATTACGCTTACAAATATCTAGCGACCTTACCTTTTAAAATATACCTCTTAACATTAACTAATAAACCCAGTTAATTATTATGCAGTTAAAAAATAAACATTGAAACAAGGCTAACTTGGGTGCTTACTCTTAAAACCAATCTCAATGTCAATGCAACTTCAATCCAATAAAATCTCAATAATGATTCAATGTCAAAACTATACAACCCCAATCGTAGCTTAAAATAGCATTCAGAGTACGGAATATAAAGCCAAACTCAATCATCATCATCAACAGCCTATAAATGCCCACTGCTGAGCAAAGCCTCTTCTCACACGGAGAAGGTTAGAGCATTAATCACCACGCTTGCTCAATGCGGGTTGGCGATTTCAAACTTATAATTAGAAATTATAAGTTCAGGTTTCCTCACGATGTTTTTCCTTCACCGTTTGTCAGTGGTGTCTAAATAATCTTTAGAAAGTACATATAACTCGGAAAAAGTCACATTGGTACTTGCCGTTGGTAGGTTTCGAACCCGCACCCTCATGCATGAGAAGTGGGCGTCTTAAACCTCCGGGCCACCACGACATTTTAACCTCCAAACTCAATACCATTTATTTATTCAATATCCACGCAATACGGATGTTAAGTGCAGTAGGTAGTATTGCAACTCGAGAGTACGAAATTTTACAGTACCAATGTCGACAACTCGGGATTGGATTCAAGAGTAAGCCCCCTGTACTGAATCAATCTTTATTTTGTTACCAACATACTAAATGTCTTGGCTAACTAAACCTAGATTGAACCTTGAACGAATTCGTCTTGAACCTCGCTACCATCAGTTGACTGTACATCTACACTACACGAGTAACTGTTTACATGTGAACATTAGCTCATGACGATACCAGCGTACGTGTGTCACTGGACAGTGAACCTCGCTACCATCAGTTGACTGGACATCTACACTACACGAGTCACTGTTTACATGTGAACATTAGCTCATGACGATACCAGCGTACGTGTGTCACTGGACAGTGAACCTCGCTACCATCAGTTGACTGGACATCTACACTACACGAGTCACTGTTTACATGTGAACATTAGCTCATGTCGATACCAGCGTACGTGTGTCACTGGTTGACTGGACATCTACACTACACGAGTCACTGTTTACATGTGAACATTAGCTCATGACGATACCAGCGTACGTGTGTCACTGGACAGTGAACCTCGCTACCATCGGTTGACTGGACATCTACACTACACGAGTCACTGTTTACATAAACTTCTTTTGGTACAAAGGTTTCTTCAAAACAATTGTCACGCATTCGATTCCGAGCTTATTTTTGGCAGTATTTTAAAAATCATACATTTTCAAAATGCATGTTTATTTCATTCTTTTACGAGTATCCCTTTTTTATTTATATTTCTGAGGGAGGAATAATTATCATCGAATGACTTCTTAATGTGGCGAGAGGGAGTGGCAGACTCTTACTGACTAAAAACCACCCCGTTCCTACTCCTGCACTTCGAGCCGAAGCCCCGGCAACCAATTACGTTCTCCGCGTCTCCTTATCGGCATCAGCCATATTAGGCCCTATCCGTGGTGGTCTGATGGCTCTTTGAGGAACGCGACGCGCTGTACACTCTGGATGAGTATCCCTTAGGTGGCTCTTACGACCAGTGGGAAAAGAGGTGATGACAATTCTACTGTACCATCGTCACTAAATATGCATTTTGAATTCATTTTATATAATTATTATAACAGATAAATAAACTTCATAAATACTATAAACAACATACCAAAGGCTCTAAACTGACGAACTGCATTTCAACTTCAATCCAACTGTAAATTGCAGTTCGGATGCAGTTTAAACGCAATTGTCACGACTGCAATAGAACTGCAATCGGACTGTAAGTTTAGTTTGCAACCGTTTGATTATGACTGCAATAGAACTGCAATCGGACTGCACGTTTGGTTTGCAAGAGTTTGGTCATGACTGCAATAGAACTGCAATCGGACTGCTCGTTTGGTTTGCAAGCGTTTGGTCATAACTGCAATAGAACTGCAATCGGACTGCTCGTTTGGTTTGCAAACATTTGATTATGACTGCAATAGAACTGCAATCGGACTGCTCGTTTGGTTTGCAAACATTTGATTATGACTGCCATAGAACTGCAATCGGACTGTCCGTTGGTTTACAATTCAATTATTGCAGTCGTGACATGATTGCATTCAAACTGCATCCGAACTGCAATTTGCGGTTGTATTGTAGTTGAAATGCGGTCTGTCTGTCTACAGCCAAACATACTATAACAAAATAATGAAAGATTTTAGTCTAAAGCCTTTATGGCCAACATAAGCGTGGCACTTCTTTCAAAAATTATTTGGCATATAATTTTGGCACTAGTCGTATATCAATGTTTTAAAACAGTGTATAAAAAGCTATGTTATCTATTTAGTTAATCATTTAGATACTGAAAAATATTAAAACAGGCAATTTTTTTTTGATCAAAATGAAAAGCAACTACTTAGACACAGTAAATAAAGCTTTTGTCACAGATTATAAGACATAACAAATAATTATCGTATAATGTCACTTACATAAAGCGATAAAGCGATCAAACTTACATAAAACTTACATAAAGCGATCAAATTATTTATTTGCTAATGGATACATTACATGAAGTTGTTAGCAAAGTACAGATCTGATCATACTACGCCTAAAGGGCTCGAACACAAAACTGCGATGCGACGTCGCATCGCAAAAATGTGCGAGCTCCCTCTACGCATCGCAAGAACTTGCGAATTGATTCGCATCGCGCATCAAAATCTTATCTTCCCAAAATCTTCTTTGTTTCTTTTTCCTGTATCTCCTAAGTAATAACAGAAGTGCACACTTCTTTTCACGATCCCTGTCACGACCTAGTTTTCAATTTAAAATACGTTTAGTACAGTTGACGGTCGTCGAAGGAATGGTCAGCCTTGTCGCACGAAATCGCATCGCAGCAATTCGTGTCGTAATTTTCTGCGTTGCGAATTCGCATCGCATCACATAGTAGTTTTGTGTACGAACCCTGAGGCAAGCAAAATGGCGTCATCATAATATTGTTCCAAGAAAAATGAATACACTATTCAAAATTCAAACTTCTAATACAATCATTGTCATATAAGTGAATTCAAATATAATGTAATCAAATTATGTTATAATTTCTGTAAGACATAATAAATTAATTAGTATGCTTTTCGGCTTATTCATACAAGGTGTTGTTTTAAAGCCGCGTCATTTTCTAGGAGGTAACTCGGCTATCGATTCTGAGTCCGAATCAATAAAATAATTGTGGGTAAATATTTTTCATTTTTCTGAAATTATGGAAATCCGTAAGTGTGAACTACACGCCGCCGTCTTGAACTAGCTTTATAACGCGGCTTAACGCACACAAACTCAAACACGTAATTGATATTATTCCTAATTCCATAAAACTCCAATAAGAAACATTGCTGTCGCTTATTCTGAAATACTGTTGAACCTAAACGATTTATTATAGCCGTATTTTTAACTATTGACCCGAAACTTTCTCTTATATTGAACCTTTATGACTTCTGTGACATGCCCCCGAGAAATGACACAGTTTCAAAACTACACCTTATATTATTGTT